AGTTTCATTCTTCTGCATGTGGCTGTCCAATTTTCCCAACACCATTTGTTGAAGAGACTGTCTTTTTTCCATTGGACATTCTTTTCTGCTTTGTCGAAGATTAGTTGACTGTCCATTTCTGGGCTCTCTATTCTGTTCCATTGATCTATGTGTCTGTTTTTGTGCCAGTACCGTACTGTCTTGATGATGACAGCTTTGTAATAGAGCTTGAAGTCTGGAATTGTGATGCTACCAGCTTTGCTTTGCTTTTTTCAACATTCCTCTGGCTATTCAGGGTCTTTTCTGGTTCCATACAAATTTTAGGATTATTATTATTATATTATTATTATTATTATATCAACAAAAATGTTGATGGTATTTTGATAGGGATTGCATTAAATGTGTAGATTGCTCTAGGTAGCATTGACATTTTCACGATATTTGTTCTTCCAGTCCATGAGCATGGAATGTTCTTCCATTGCTTTGCTTCTTCCTCAGTTTCTTTCATGAGTATTCTATAGCTTTCTGAGTACAGATTCTTTGCCTCTTTGGTTAGCTTTATTCCTAGGGATCTTATGGTTTTGGGTGCGATTGTAAATGGGATCGACTCCTTTATTTCTCTTTCTTCTGTCTTGTTGGTGTATAGGAATGCCACTGATTCTGTGCATTGATTTTATATCCTGCCACTTCACTGGATTCCTGTATGAGTTCTAGCGGTTTTGGGGTGGAGTCTTGGGTTTTCCACATAAAGTATCCTATCATCTGCAAAGAGTGAGAGTTTGACTTCTTTGCTGATTCGGATGCCTTTTATTTCTTTTTGTTGTCTGATTGCTGAGGCTAGGACTTCTAGTACTATGTTGAATATCAGTGGTGATAGTGGACATCCCTGCCATAGAACTGAGTCAGTTTTAAAAATTAATAACCTCTGTGCTGCCAACAAACAACTTTTTTTTAAGCTGCTTTTTCCTAATCTGGGGATTTCTGATATTGGAAATATTTCACTTTATAGATTTCTCTTAGAGACACAGTTGGACATCTTTTTTGGTCTATAGCAGTTATGTCTGACTGCTAAAAACTTCCTTTTTCAGAAGTTCAGAAATGGCTGTCCCTGGAAATAATCACTATTCTTCCATCTAAGCTTCCTTCTGGCCTGAAAGAGGCCTTATGAATCAAGCCCTTCTGGATATCTGGACCTTGTCTGACTTTAATCTGTATTTAAGAGCACTTTTTTTCTGGTGATACCATGTGTGCACAATCCCTGCCCTCCTACCCAGGCCTTCCAATAGAGACTGCAAAATGTTCTAACCATTTCTGGAATGTCATTTGAAAAATGAAACACTCATTTCAGTAATTTCGCATCAATTAGGACTGTGCCTTTTTTTTCCCCCCTGTTCTCAAACTTGAGAACATAAGAGATTGCCAACTGGTTTCATTCATTCGTCTCATCATTTACTGGGTTTCCCTGTGTGCCAGGAATGGTACCAGGAGGCACGCGTTCCTTGTGGTAGGCTAGATTCAGAAAGGAAAGCCTGCACCGGTGAGGCAGAATACTCCCAAACATTCTCACCTCCCTCTCAGGAGCTCGTTACTGAGCAGACAGTTGTCAATCTACCCAGACCTGCCTTGAACCCTTCCTGTTTGTAACGCCAGCGGCTTTGGGCCCGAGGCCCTGTTTTGATGACCTGCTGTGTAAGTGGTAACTTTCTTGCTATTGAAGGCAAACCGTGTTCAGAGGGTTGCTCTCAGTTTCAGCAGCTGTTCTGTTGCTCAGTGTAAGGCGTGACCGAGGGCGGCCAAGGACAGTTGAAAGAGCCAGTGGACGGGATGTCTGGAGGCCTCCCTGGCTTGGGTGGTTCTGCCTGCCCCTAATCAGAGCACACCCCTTTACCTCTCTTAGGTTTCAGTCGCTCTCCCGTAAAATAAAGGGATGGACTAGATCATTTCTAAGAATCCTGACAAAGCCTAACATTCTGGCATTCCACAGCTCCACATATGAATTCACCTCATTTCTTCACACATTCCTTCCAACAGCCTGTTAATTCCTGTGAGGGCAGGAGCTATTTATCCAACGACAAGCCCAGTGGCTGGCACACAGGAAATGCGGTAAAGATTTGAGGGAGTTAAAAATAATTTTTTAAAAAAGAATGTTTTTACCCTACCTCTACCCACATCCAGAGGAAGTTCCTGCTGTGAACTCATTTAATCATTCCTCAAGGAAACCAGTTTGTCTACAGAAAATCCTGTGTTGGTGCTCTCAAAATTTTGAGTGCGTGCGTGTGCGTGTGTGTGTGAATGGGGTGTACATATACATTTAATATATAGTCGATTAGGCTACTTTAAAATTCATTTAAGAGAATTCTTAGTTATAAAATGTTTCCACATGATGTCCATGTCTTCCAAATGAAAGATGTAAAATATTTAACTTTTAGACTTTAATAAGGTACACCAATGATTTTCTTTTTTAAAGACAGTGATACCAAACATAGCAAAAATTGAGAGTTTTTCCTCAGAAATGGAGCATATAAAACTAATATTATTTTGGGCCCTGATGTAAGAGCAAATAGACAGAAAATTGTGATTTTCTTTATTATAGGATATTGCCTAGGCAGAAGTTAAGCAAATTTGACTGGTAAACTGTTTTAAGGAAAACTAGCACTTTTTAAAAATGTTTTTTTGTGTGTGTGTGGGAATGCCAATTCTAGAATTCATTAAAGGATTTTAAAATTCTTTCCTCAAGTGAAGTACTACATGCTAAAGTTTAAGATGTTGGTAAGTGCAGATTAAAAAAAAAGAAAGAAAATCCTTAAAAAGTTTAAAACACTTCTAGAATGTTTTATCCAATCACAAATATGATTATCATTTTTTAAAAGATTTATTTATTTGAGAAAGAGAGAGGGCAGGAGGGAGGGGCAGAGGGAGAGTGTTAAGAAGACTCTATGCTGAGCGTGGAGTCCCATGCTGGACTCCATCTCAGGACCCTGAGATCTCAACCTGAGCTAAAACTAAGAGTTGGACGCTTAACTGACTGCACCGTGATTATCATTTTTTTTAAGATATTCATTTATTTATTTGAGAGAGAGAGAGAGAGTGCATGCACACATGGGCAGGGGGAGGGGCAGAGGGAGAAGCAGACTCCCCGCTGAGCAGGGAGCTCCATGTGGGGCTCCATCCCAGGACCCTGGGATCGTGACCTGAGCCAAAGGCAGACGCTTAACCGACTGAGCCACCCAGGCGCCCGCGTGATTATCATTTTTATGAAATTTCTTTCACACTAATTTTTCCCTTTGCATAAACTAAAACATCTTTTCCTCAATCAGGTGTTTGTTTCTGAGCTTAGCTCATGCTCCTTTGGGGTACCCTTTTTTAACAAAGCGTCAGTGGGGTCCTGCTTCTGTGTAGATCCCTGGACTAGGTACTGTGTTTTAACGTCCTGCTTGTCAGTCACTCATCATCCTAGATATTATCGTGCACCGCTGTGTATCTATAATCTCACGCCCTCCTTAGCTCTGACATGAACACGCAGGGTGTCTAGAAAGTGCACACACACCCAGATGTCCTGCTGAAATTACGTCATATGTTGTGGTAACCTTTTGTGGAATTCACTTTTGACCACTATGTTCTTAAAGGCTTAAAATGTGCTTTAGACACAGGGAAGGTGTGAAATAATTTTTAACAGGGCACAAAATGCCAAGACTGGATGAGTCAGGAGTGGGGCCAGTGTCTGAGCCTCCATGAATTGAATTAAGGTAATAATTACTTAAACAGTAATGATTAACAGGAAAGTACTTTGGAAGGAATCTCAGGAATCTATAGAGCACTCTGATGGCCTCTTTTTGATAAGGTATTGTAGGACCTGTTCATTAATCTCCTGCATGGTCTTCCCTCCTATAGTGATGAATCACCAGCACCAGCAGCAGATGGCACCCACTACCCTGAGCCAGCAGAACCACCCTACTCAGAACCCCCCAGCAGGGCTCATGAGCATGCCCAATGCTCTGACCACTCAGCAGCAGCAGCAGCAGAAGCTCCGGCTTCAGAGGATCCAGATGGAGAGAGAGAGGATCAGAATGCGCCAAGAGGAGCTCATGAGGCAGGTATGGCCTTCTGTGGTGCCTGCTGGAGGCTCCATGACCTTTGGTGCCAAGGCTCGGGGGTAGGTAGCTGCGGGCCATCAGGGTAAATCTTTCTCTAGAAGCGTTAAAGACCCAGAGCCTACTCCAAACCATATGAGTAGAATCTCGGTTTTTCTCCCAGTATCTGCCTGCCTTGTCTTCAGAGCCAAACATATGAGTACAAGGACTAGCTATGTTTGCATGGCTGCCTTTGGGTTCTACTGCTGATCTTTAGAAGGGGAGGAAGACTCTGTTCCAATTATCTATTGCTGTGTAACATCATCCCAAAAACGTAGTGGCTTAAAACAGTAGCCCATTTTATTATATCATACAATTCTGTGGGTTGGGAATTTGGGCAGCGCTCAGGTGGCCTGTTCTTCTGGCTTCCGTGGTGTTGACGAAGACTGCTTTAGTAGTATTCAGCTGGTGGGTGGGTTGGTCTGGTAGGTCCAAGATGGCTTTACTCAAGTGTGTGGCATCATGATAAGGATTGCTGGAAAACTGGGCTTGGTTGGGACTGAAACCTGGAGCATCTCTATTTGGCATCTCTAGCTAGCACAGCAGTCTCAACAGTGGGACATATTGCCTAGCAGCTTGGGTCTCCCAGAGAGAATGTTCCAAGAAACAAGAAGTAGAAGCTGCCAGTGACTTAGGATCTGGTTCTGGAAACTGTCACAGAGTCACTTCTTCCATATGCTCTTAATCAAAGAAATTACAGATTTGCCCTAGATTAAAGCGGGTAGCAGAAGGGATGTTCCATGGACAAAATGACAAAGAATTTGCAACCATCTTTGGTCCACCATGGAGCATGAGAAAGAGTTAGGGAAAACTGAAGGAGAATGAGAAAGGAAAATGTTGGCATACGGGCTCTGATAGAGTCGCTATTGATCAGGTGCCTGTGTGCCATACTGCATTCATTCATTCATTCATTCAGTCAGTCAGTCAGTGGATAGAATGTTGCTGTGTGTCTTCTGTGGGTCTGGGTTGACGCAGCACTCCAAAAATTAATAAAACAGAATCCCTTAAGGAACCCACAGTTTTCTGCCTCCCTCAGTGGCTTGGTGTGTGCAAGAACAGAATTATTTCTTCTGTGTTGCTAAACTAATGTAGGCCATGTTTTTAGGTCTCGTCAATTTTGCTGGCTACATTTTAGGGAAGAAAGCTTCAGTTTATTCTAATTCTTGAGACTTTGCTTTATGACTCACATGAAGCAAGATACATGAGTAGCTTCTCTTTCACTAGTTTAAGGAAATAAGTATTTTTAACTGTTTCAGAGAGCTTTTCTTGCAAGAGCCTGCGGTGTTACACTAAATGCTACTTTTTCTTTTAGTCACATCTGATACTTTGAAAAATATACATTGATTTCTATAAATGAATAATGTATTTCTCATCAAATAAATTCTAGGATATAAAGTGTCTATCCTGTGTGAGGTTTTAAAAACATGGTGAGTTAAAATAATTCTTTAGACATAGCCTTTGACAATGAGGGAAATGAATGTCAATTGTGCTTTGTTGTTCAGTAGAACTATCCTGAATTTGAGGAACACAGCTTTATAATATAACTACAGTTGTGCCTTTTTCCCTGAGGATTTATGTCTGAACATTCATGGTTATTTTAGGGTAACAGTTGTTTATACTGTTTTTAGATATACAGTATCATGTTTCTTAACAGGAAATAATTATATTATTTTTTGTCTTGGGATAACAATTCCATTTGGAATATTAATTTTCTGTTTCATAATATCTATAGAGTAAATGTAACACTATTATAGTAGCATTTATAACTTTTCTCTTAGTTTCATATTTAAATGAGCTTTAATGTGTTTTATTTTTCCTTGCACAAAGCTACAGACTGTTCTGTAAAGAATAATTTGTTTCTTAGTTTCTGCCACTTTCTGTGTTTCTTTTTCTTGCCCCAGCTCTTTCTTTCCCACACAAAGTATTTCTGCAAAGGGGTGGGGGAAAGTGCCCCGAATTGCTTCCTTTATTCCAACCATAGGTGCCTTTGAACCAGAATGTAGCATTGGTGGTTCATATTACAGAAATGCCAACCAAGTTTATTAAATGCTGATCCCTGGAGGCTGTGGAACTTGGAGCATTTTGCTGCATCATATTGTGCAATCCTACTGTATAGGACAGTGGGAGAAAGTATCCAGATTTGCTCACAGAGGCTCCCATAGTTCAACTTTGTGTGTGTGTGTGTGTGTGTGTGTGTGTGTGTGTGTGTGTGTCTAGTTAGGAGGAGGAGAAGGGAATGGAATGGATGGTTCTGATGTCTTTTTATTTTCCTTATAGAATACAGGGAAAAAAGGTCTAAAGGGACTTTTTCATCATGGAAAGTTTTTTCCCCCCATCCAGAAGTAACTTGCTCCTCAGTGTCAAAGATACTATTTAAGGCCATATGGTAAATAGTATTAGAGTGTTCTCTGATAGTTTTCTGGGGCATTTGCCAAGATGCCTGGTTGTTTGGGTGTGGATTATGTCTATCATCTTAGTGGTTTTTTTACCCCCCCCCCCTTTTTTTGGTGATTTTCTGCCTCACTATTTGCACTTAAGCCAGGGACAGGGAAATGGACTATCGGTAAAGGTGATATTTGGCTAACCTGTTTAGCTGCCTTTTAGAATCTGGTAGAAAATAGGAATAAGGGTAGAGGAAATGGTCCTGATGAAGTCTGAAGATTTTTTTTTTTTAAAGATTTATTTAGGGGCACCTGGGTGGCTCAGTTGGTCAAGCGTCTGCCTTAGCTCAGGTCATGACCCCAGGGTCATGGGATCAAGCCCTGCATCGGGCTCCCTGCTCAGCAGGGAGTATGCTTCTCCCTCTCCCTCTGCTCTTCCCCCTGCTCAAATAAATAAACAGTCTTTAAAAAAAATTTAAAATAAGAGTTATTTATTTATTTATTTATTTTGAGAGAGAGAGAACGCGCACGTGTGTGCTTGTGCGTGCGTGAGCTGGGGGGAGGGGCAGAGGCAGAGGGAGAGAAGAAGACTCCCCACTGAGCACAGAGCCCAAAGGGGGCTCAATCCCACGACCCTGAGATCGTGACCTGAGCCGAAATCAAGAGTCAGATGCTCAACCGACTGAGCCATACTGGCGCCCCATGATGAGGTCTGAAGATTATGTGTAGACTTCCATTTCTTCTTCCTGCCCCACTCCCATGCCCACTGTGGTCAACAAGTACCTGAATCTCCTTAGCTCACTGGGCAGTCTGTAAGGAGCATGGCTCTTCTCTTGCTCACAGGGGGGCCCTAGCCATGCAGGCTGTGTTCTCAGGGTCCCCCTGCCTTGCAGGCAACCTTGACCTGCCTGCAGTTCCATCAGGAGAGAATTTCCAGGAGAGAGGCTCCATCCTATTTCTATCTCTGTGGTGGGAAAAGAGGTTGGGAAAATTTAAGGGGTAGATGAATTTGTTGCCTAATTCTTGGGAAATCATCACCATTCTGAAAATTGTTATCATCCTTAAATATATAATAAATGTGAAAGCTCCTTATAAATGAAATACCATGTAAAAATGTGGTTTCATGCCTCCGTCTTCCTATTCCTTCTTCCATGCCATCACCCTTCCAGGCGTGTCATCTGACGATGTTGCATTGTGGAGAAAGAAGCTCCTCAGTGTTGCATAAGCTGACGTACACTGCATAATGCCAGGGGCTCACATGTTAACTCGTGGTCACTGAAATCATGTAGAATATCAACAAATGGATGTAAGGAAAGTTTGATTACAGATCTGAGGTGAACCTTCATTATTTCAGGATGGAAAATTACTTTTTTCATTCTTTTCTTTGTCTCCTCATTCACTTATCCAACGAACATTTATGTGGTGAAAAATAACAAACAAAAAGATAAATGGGACTTGGCCGCCTTCGGATAACTTGCATCTTACCAGACAAGCAAAATGATGAAATCAGGATGATTACAACTAATCCAAATGTGTGGCCAGAAGGGTAAATTCAAACTCTTCCCTCTTTCTATCTTTGGCTTTCATTCCTGGAGCAGAGACTAGACACACCACAGCACAGAGTTCTGTGAAGCGAGCAGAAGGTACTTCTTTTTTTCTCTTCAGTGGGCCCTCGGGCCAACAAGTTGTTGAAGAATCCACAGCATTAGGATCAAAGGGCCAGTGAGGTTTTGGGTATCTCCTTCGATTAGGAATCTTCTGAAGTAGGAGAGTTCCATTAAAAATGGTCCCTACAACTTAGCATTGGCTGCTGTAGCCAAGTTGAACTTCTTGTGTCTGATAACTGATGAGTTATCTCGGGTTGTGGCAGGTGCTCCAAGCTCAGGGGCGCCCCAGACAAGCTCAGGAGAATTCCAGCTGGGTCTGCAATACAGTCTTGTTAGGAAAGTGGATGTTTCCCTGCTTTCCACAGGCATCCATTGCAGACATTGTGGAGAGTGAATTTTTGTGAAAGACATTCTCGGTTGTCCGTGATAATGAGAGTTTTATCTTTGTGAAATTTTCCAAACCTGGAGAGGCAGCTTCAAGTTCATAAGAGAAATGGCAACTCAAGAAAAGAAAGCAGTCTCAGTTGAAGGTGTGCCTCCTGGTATCCTCGTAGTTTTTAAAAAGAAATTTGAATTCGGGACGCCTGGGTGGCTCAGTCGGTTAAGCGGCTGCCTTCGGCCCGGGTCATGATCCCAGGGTCCTGGGATCGAGTCCCACATTGGGCTCCTTACTCGGCGGGGAACCTGCTTCTCCCTCTCTCTCCCTCTGCTTGTGCTCTCTCTGTCAAATAAATAAAATCTTAAAAAAAAAAAATTTGAATTCAGTTTGTGACAATTTTTTCTTTTGATTTAGAAAAATAAAGTTTTTTTTAAGAGAGTAGAATTGTTTTCTTTTTTTAAGTTTTTATTTATTTATTTAACACACACACACACACACACACGCGCAGAGAAGGAGTGAGAGCACAAGCAGGGGGAGCAGCAGAGGGAGAGGGAGAAGCAGACTCCCCGCCAAGCAGGGAGCCCAACATGGGGCTCC